GAAGCCAATTAACAAATAAAAAATCTGGAGGCGTGCTTGAAACTGAAAACAAGTTATTAGCCAGGTTTAAACAAACTTTCAGAAGGCATGCAAGGTGAAACTGTTGTAAATAGTATTCAATAATTAAAGTCATATACTTTGATTACTGTTTTTGTTATTCTAGCAGAGCTAGATAAAATGCTTAAATACTTTTTTCTGCGAAACATGGGTATGTTTGTATTTGAATAAATATTATTTCATATTTAAAGCTATATAAATACACACACACACACACACACACACACACACACACACACACACACACACACACACACACGCACACACATATATATATATATATATATATATATATATATATATATATATATATATATATGTATATATATATATATATGTATATATATATATATATGTATATATATATATATATATATATATATATATATATATATATATATATACTAGCTTTCCCGCTCTAGCGCGTTGCCGCGGGGCTAGAAAAAAACCCGAGGATTACCCGCGACAAATCTCACTCTACAATATATATATATACGAGTTGAGTAGAAATGTATTCTACAAGTGTTGAATAATGTTCTTAGATTGACATTTATTTGACCATAAAACAATTCTTGTATATTGATCAATTCGCTAACAGACCGGAAATGGAATTATTATTTGTCAAAAGATTATATTAGTATGCAACATTTGAAAAGGTTGGTAAGCTAGGCGGAGAAGCTATTGTTTGCATGCAGATGTGGGCCTATGCTAAACTATAAGTTTTTATTTTTCCAGAGTCTTCAAATCGAAAGCTTTAAAGGTCAGGTGTACATTCTTATAAGTTTAGATTAACCTACTGATGGTTAAAATAATGTCTCAAATATCGTTTGTTTACAACGTAGTTTATCTATTGTGACAAAATCTATAGCTCAAATAGAAAGTAAGGTAGGAGAAGAGAAACGCGAGATGCACGGTGGTTTGTGTCCAGGGGGTTCATGTCGCGGGGGGTTTATGTCCTGGGGTTTTTGTCCAGGGGTTTTTTGTCCAGGGGGTTTATATCGCGGGGGGTTTTTGTCCAAGGGGTTTATATTGCGGGGGGGGGGGGGGGGTGGGGGAGGGTGGGGGTCGTCCAGGGGGTTCATGTAGACGGGGGACTATGTCCTTTGGGGTTTATGTCGGGGGGTTTTTGTCCAGGAGGTTTTTGTCCAGGGGGTTTTTGACCAGGGTTTTTTTGACTGGACACCGCGGCAGAGGCAGAACTGTCAAGGGGACAGACAGGATTGTCATGGGCTCTGCCATGAAAATTGCCGGTGACCGACACAAGTTGAAAGAGCTCTCTATTGCGGCCCCATGTGTCTTGGGCACAAAAAGAAAATGATAATGCTATCTCAAATAGCATATATTAAAGTTAAAGCAAGAGTAAACTCTTAAATACAACACGCTTTTAGATGCACTAACAATTTAAATCAAACATAATTGATTCGCATAAATGTTGTAGATTGCTGCACCAGAAACGCGAGAGACCAGCTTTTACTTTACATTCTTAAAGTTAAATGCAAATATATAGGACCTATGGCTTCTTTTTTTTAAATTGCTAAGGGAGACAATCTATATATTTGTTGCCCGAAAGTAACATAACAGTCAGATATAATCGCTAGTAATAAAATCGTTTAATTATTGTTTAACTATTATATTGAATTTACATTACAAAAAACAATTTTAATAACATTTTATGATACTTTTAAAAATTTGAATATATTTTAAAACTTTTATTTACCTTTTAGTTACAATAAAAGCTTTAGTGATTGTGTATACAATTTAGTTTAATTTAGGATGCTCATCGAATTAAAGATTACATCGTAGTCTAGATGTTTCGTAATAGTTTATACTGAAGCTAAGTAAAAAAAAAAAAAAAAAAATGTGAACCTATAAAGAAAAATTACATACCAATGAAAAGTGAAGGAATGAATAGGATGATTTTGTTGAACACTTCGATAAGCATAAAGACTTTAATGCCGGGAAAAAAAAATACTGACGCTAAGTCTGAGGCGGGAAAAGAAGAGAGAAGAAAAAAAAAATTAAAAATTAAAAAAAAAATGTAATTTTAATTTATATAAAAAGAATAATTGTTTGCAGTACCTAAACGGCTAATCATATAGATCTAAATCAATATGATACTATGTAACTTCAAAATAAAATATAAATATTTGTATATATTGATAAATTATTAAAATAAAATTTAAATTTAAAAAAAAAAATTAAAAAAAAAAAGCTCAGTTTTAACTAGCCTACACATGATTTGCTCGTTGTTTCTGTGATTGAATGAACAGTTGTTTTACTAATCAAAAGTTTTTTTTAATACGACGTTGTAGATCTAAATATATCCAATTACACAAATTAAAAATGTCTTTAATAATGCCAAAAATAAAGAATAAACAGATGAGAGTAGAGGTTTATAAAGAATTTTTTAAAGGAAAAGCGCAAGGAGAAAATTGAAGAGAAAAGAAAAGAAGGATTGAAGAAAAAGCCATGGGCTCTAAGGCACCTCCCAAGAAAAAACCAAAGACAATTGAAAGCATGCGCGCATCGGATGAAACAATGGTGGATCCAGCTCACCGAGAGACCCAAATAGATCTTGAGCTTGATGAAATGGCACCATATTTTCAAGAAACATCACCTAAAATTCTCATCACAACCTGTGACAGACCAAAAAACAGTTTCTGTAAGGAGCTAAAGAAAGTTATTCCTAAATCCGTGATAAAATACAGAAGAGGTCTAGATTTAAAGAAGATTGTGCCGCAGGCTATTGAGATCGACTTCACAGATCGGATTGTAATTAATAAAGATGCCGGTGAACCTAATGGATTAGTGCTATGCCATCTACCCAATGGGCCAACTGCTGATGATGAATGTCAAGCTGTGTAAAGAACTAAAGCGTCTAGGCGAGATGACAGAACACTTCCCTGAAGTAAACATCCACAACTTTAACACCAGACTGGGAGTCACCATAGGAAGAATGTTGATGTGTTTATTTCCCCATAGACCAGAGTACAGGGGGAGGAGAGTTGTCACCCTTCACAATCAGAGAGATTATATTTTCTTCAGACATCATAGGTACCAGTTTAGAAATGAAGAGAATGTAAACTTGCAAGAGCTGGGTCCCAGGTTTATACTCAGGTTGAGGTCCCTGCAGAAAGGCACCTTTGATTCCAAGTCTGAGATGTACATATGGATACACAAGCGTCATGAAATGGAAACAAGTAGAAGAAAGTTCAATCTATAAAAATAATTTGGTTTATAGAATTATCTAGCTCAAAAAAGTAAATGTCTGTATAAAAATACTCTTAAAAAAAGCTAAGGTCTGAGGGACTCCTGTCGACTAATTTTACTTCGCTTGAACACGGAATTTGACTATCAAGATGCCTGGTGGTAAAGCTGGAAAGGATTCTGGAAAGGCCAAAGCCAAAGCAGTATCTCGATCAGCCGTGCTGGGCTTCAGTTTCCAGTCGGTCGTATCCATCGTTACTTAAAGACGCGAACTACAAGTCATGGAAGAGTTGGAGCGACGGCTGCCGTTTATAGCGCAGCTATCTTTACATATAATTATAATTCTCTTCATGGAGACCATAGAAAACACCAAGCCTACCAGCCTCCTCTCTTCCTCTCTAGGCATATCCCTACCACCCCCACCCCCACCCCCACATGGTCTGGTGAGTTGTGGTTCACGCTAAATGTTTACAATAGTAGAGCCGGGTTTAGTGACGGTTATTAGGGGCAGATAATTTAGTATGAAACGATTTTAAACTTAGGGTAGGTAACTAAGAGGAGGCTGCTTTCACGGGGGGGAGGGGGGTTAGAGTAGGGGTTGGGGGAAAGGAGGGTGGGGGGAGGGTTATCGTCCTTAACGACCTACTGATAGTGTTTTAAAGCAAATATTTTCAGTAGCAGCATTGGTACTGACGAATTCACAAATTATGAATTACTGAAAAGTAGAAAATAAAACAACTAAATAGCGGCATATGATACGCCGCGGATCGGCTCGTTTTGAATAATTGACTGCTGAAGTTCTGGAGTTGGCTGGGAATGCAAGTAAAGATTTGAAAGTGAAACGTATCACACCTCGTCACTTGCAGTTGGCTATCAGAGGAGATGAAGAGTTAGATTCCCTAATCAAAGCTACCATTGCTGGTGACGGTGTTATTCCCTATATTCACATATCACTGATAGGAAAGAAGGGGTTTCAAAAGACAGCATAACCACCCTTTTAGTTTTCAAGCTCATTTTTTTTTTAAAGTTTGAAAGGAAAATCTCCGTAGGGGGACTGTAAGGATATATCTGTTGGAATAGGAAAAAAAAATCTTGTGCTAACTCATTTTATTGTTTATAGCATCCATGTTGCTTCTAGTATTCTTCTATACCCAAAACATAGTTATTCTGGTAAAATATTTATACAATCATTTTATTGTACATCTAAATAAAGCAATTATTGAAACATTAGAATTTAAAAAAAAAGAAACTAATAAGTGACTTTTTTTTTCAAAACTACTATTTCATCAGAACAATTGTTATTAAAAGATACTTTATTATTTAACAGTGATGATATACTATTAACATTTGGTTAACTTGGTATTGCATTTAGAATTCAACTTTTTATAATTAAAGAACACACATATGGCTGAATTTTCTTGATCAAATACAGTTAGTTTCCTATTATATATATATATATATATATATATATATATATATATATATATATATATATATATATATATCTTAACAGTCTTTGATTGGCTATGTTTTCATTGAGTTGAAATTTGCAATCAAACCTTGCAGTAACAAAACGGTTTCATTCTAGCAATCTGTACTCAGTCTGTAACTTTCTGATGATTGTTCAATCGCACAATGACCTTCCCCCCACTTTCCCGTGTGTCGGTAACAGATCTGTAGCAGCAGACGATGAACTATCACAAAAGGTTTCGGTGTTGATTTTCGTCCTCGTTTTCGTTTGTTTTAACGGAATTGTAAAATTTCCCTTACAGTAAACGGTCGCCTCGTAGATGGCTAATCCAGGTGAGGTTTGAACCATGACCTTAAATAACGTGCGGTCGTTGACGTCTCCTTTTTAAAACGTTGGAATAATTTTGAGCTTAACGTGGATGATTTGTAAAATTGTATCTAAAATAACTTCCGCGTATAATGATGTGTTGAGTTTGAAGTTGATAGCAGCGACAACTTCACGTGCGAGATGTCTAGACAGTTTGCTGCTCTCTTTGACGTACGCGACTTCCTCCTCATTCCCTCACACACAGAACGCGGGATGAACATGGTTGTCAACATAGGTTCTATTTTTTAGGAATTTTTTTGGAACAGACTGATCCTGTGTCCAGTTTTAAGTGGGGCGTGACCTTTGGCCTTGAAGTAGAGCAGTTCCTGGAGAGTGGCGTGCGTGTCGTAGTGTGTCGTGAGTCTGGCCGTGTTGGTCTTCAAGTTTCTCACAACATCCGGGTATTTCTCCAGAAACCATTTCGGGAATGTCAGAATCGTGTAAGGTGTTCTGCTTTCTATCATGCCATTAAACGTCGCACGAATACATCGATATCTCGGTCCGTGGTCGGAAAACGAGATTAAAAACGTCTTCTCCAAATAACCATCTTTAGGTAATTGCGTATAAATATCATACACCTGGTGCACAAACATTTTTATTTTATTTGCAACAGTGTGGCTCATTCTTGAAAAAAAAAACCATCGCAAATTTCGGCAATTTCGGATTCGGACTAAAAAGTCGTCGGATGTAATCTACGTGGAAATAAATTTCCGGTTTCGTCCCCATACTGTGTGACCCTGACCTATGCGAATCAGGGTAATAATCCACAGCCAGATTAAACGGATGGGTATAATACCTAGTCGGTGGGAACAGAAATCCAGTCAAGTAGTGAAACCCACTAAATTGATGGATTGTCCTCTGTGTATACGGTTTGGTACCCAGCTCTTTCGTACTCTCTTCATACGAAATCAAAAGCGTCTGAAAACTCAGTTTCCTGCCACCATCTGAATTTGGCTCACAAAGGTTAATCGTGGTCGATACTTTAAAACGAGATGCAATAATTGAATTAGCCGGATTATGTGTTGTCTTTCAATACTAATTCAAGCATTTCACTTACATCATTAAACTAACTCAAAAAGTTGCTTAATGACCACTTGTTTCCACCCATTATATTAAAAATAATTAATTTCATTGCCTGTAGTTACTACAACAGAATACATTTGGATTCGAATTTTGATTGTACCAAAGCCCGTTTTCTTTAGTAACTAAAGTCTTTAAACAGGGGATCCTGAGCTGGATGAAACACATTTTATACATGAATATAATATAAAAGTAATATATAGATCAACAGTAATTAATAATCGAAATTCTAAATCAACTAAAATTAATCATTATCTGGAGGTCGACGTGGTCTGGTCGGCTAAGCTCCCTGTCACTAAGCCGAATTCGGAACTCACTCATCTAGGAGTGACAACTCCAAATTCTAACAAATGCTACAAACTTCTACAAAGGCTATTGAGGCAAATCCATAAAAGAAAAGTGTAATCTTAAATTCATAATTAAAAAAAAAAGTATCGATATATTTTTTTTTATTTAATGACAATCCACAATTTATTTTAGTATTAAAATTAAACGTAACTGTTACGCATTTCGTAACCGTCGATTTCGGCCTTAGAAAATATTTTAAAAAAACTCAATTTATACAACATATTTGTATTTAATCTGAAACTCACTTATCTTGATAAGAAAATTACTAAACTGTTGTTTATTTTAATGTAAATGAGGAGGGGAGAGAATCTGATATAATTGATTAATTAATCGTTACACAGCTGGGTCTGTGTGTCTATTGCATAGGACGCTGAGATTCAGTCAATAACACGACATGACCACAAGCCAACTGGAGGAATTAAAGTTTACCCACACACTGTGTACTTTTAACTATCCCTCTCCCTCCTACTTTCTTTCACTCTGTCCTTTATGTTTTCAATCTCCCTCATTCTAGTTCATTGTCTCTCTTTCTCTACCCTCTCTCTCTCTCCTTATCTTTCTTTTTCACTTTTTTCTCTTCCATCTCTGAATTTCTCATTCTCCATCTTCCGCTTTCTTTTTCGTTTTCACTCTACATTTCTTAATTTGTCTTATCTATTTGCCTTTATCTATCTCCTTTTAGTAAAAGTTTTATCTTACTGTTGGTCCTACTCTCCTTCGTTCCCTCTATCTCTCTCTCTCTCTCTTTCTCTTACTCTTTCTCTTTATCTCTTTCTTCCCCAGAACTACACCTTAAAACCCTTTACTAGACCTTCTATCGGTACATTGTTCAGACATCATTAAAATTTGGTTCCCTTCAATGCCTAGAACAACACATGTGGCTGAAGAGAAAATGTGAATCAGTTGGTCAGCACTATGAATAACTAAAGTACATTCCAGCTTAGTAACTTTCTTTGGCAGTTCTCCAAGGTAGTCCTGCTATTGTCCGTTGTTTTTCTGCTGTGCGTCTTCACGTCTTCTTCGGCCATCCAAGTTTACTTTTTACTTTTTCATTTTTGTGTTCATTTCTACCAATCTGCATTTTATTTTTGTATTACAAAGTCTTGTATAAATTGTAGGATAAAGTCTTCAGCAGAGTTTCTTCCAGGCATCTCTTCGAAATTTTTTTACCGCCCCCCCCCCCCACCCCCGAACGAAAAGAAATTTATAAAATTTATATATGTAACTAGTAGAGTTACCAGAGACATAAGAACGTATTACAGTCTGTCAACTTTGACATGACCAAGGCCAAACTGGGCTGACGCAACAGTGCAGGTGGTCTAATAATCAGACTGTACGACAGAGTTGCGCAATTAATATTCTGATACAACGATTAGAATCGATTACGAATACGATTACGATTACGAATACGATTACGAATACGAGGAGATAAAATAGGAAGGCGACAGTTGAGAAGGGGAAGCCGAACTGTAGAGACGTGTTTGGGAGTATCAAGTAGGAGACTGAACTGTGTAGACGTGTGGTTAGATGTGAGGATAGGAATTATGGACACGTGCATTCTGTTATGTGAGGACTAGTGAGGACAGTGGGGGTCAGTTGGTTCATTGTATTTTTGTGGAACATTGGTGCATTGTTATGTGGAGCATTTCTATTGATTCATGTAATAAAGAGATCAATGTAAACCTGCATTTCCGAGTATCTGTATTGTGGTCGATGTTGTGTGCTGGTCAAAGGTAGCACGAGTAAATACA